CCTGAGAAGTTATCCATCTACTCATCGGATTCGGCCATTTCTCGATATTTACGTGCACGTAATTGGCATGTCAAGAAAGCTACTAAAATGCTCAAAGAGACCTTGAAGTGGAGAATTCAGTACAAACCCGAGGAGATTCGATGGGTTTGTGTTCTTTGAATCTAAAGCTTATTTCTAAGCCAGATCTATTTCCAAGACATGAAAGAATGTTTCTTTTTGTTTTGGAATCTTACAGGAGGAGATTGCCCGAGAAGCCGAGACCGGGAAGATATACCGAGCTAACTGTACTGACAAGTATGGCAGAACCGTTCTTGTCATGAGACCAAGTTGTCAGGTTTGCTCCTCGTATCCTGTCTAGATTGATCTGACTCTGTTAGAACTCAGAAGCTCCATCTGTATACCTTGGTTTATTTGCACTCCTTTTTTGTTGTTGCAGAATACAAAATCGACTAAAGGGCAGATTAGATTCTTGGTCTACTGCATGGAGAATGCAATCTTGAATCTACCGGCTCACCAAGAACAAATGGTTTGGTTGATAGATTTCCATGGTTTCAATCTGTCACATATATCGGTGAAAGTGACCCGAGAAACCGCTCATGTACTACAAGAACATTACCCGGAACGCTTAGGCTTGGCCATACTCTACAACCCGCCCAAATTCTTCGAACCTTTCTGGAAGGTAACACAATGTTTCTCTTCTATTGCTACCTATATGGCATGATATGTATGTACACGCACAGCTGAAACAGAGCTCGAATATAACTACTGTGATGTAGATGGTGAAACCGTTTCTAGATCCAAAGACATGCAACAAGGTGAAATTCGTTTATTCTGATGATGGCGAAAGCAAGAAGGTGCTCGAGGATGTTTTCGATATGGAGCAACTAGAGGTTGCCTTTGGTGGAAACAGCTATTCAGGTTTTGATTTTGTCAAGTATGCTGAAAGAATGAAGGAGGACGATGCAAGATTCTTCGGAAACACAGTATCAACCACTTCCCCATTGATGAAAGATGCTAACTCAGATTCCGAATCTTCTTCTGACATGGAAAAGACCAACAGAGACTGCTCAGAGAAGAGAATAACTGACGCCCCTGCGAACAAAGAAGATAGACCCAAAGCCTAGAAGGGGATCTTGGTTTCCACCAAAGATCAAGAGTTTCTCAATGACGCTTCTGTAAAGTTCATGATTTTAAGTTCTTAACAGCTTCAACAGTCTGGCTACGACCAGAAAAAACAGATTCTGATAAGTTTCAGATTGTATTATGGCTCAGATTCTTACATAAAGAGATCAAGGAATGTTATCTCAAGTAGCTGAAAGAAGAGTGTCTGAAAATGTTTCTCAAGATGGTAATGTTGTACACAGTTTTTGAACATTGTCCTACTGGAACTACGGATATGGCACAGATGGTAAGAGAAGAACCCTAAGGCCTAAACTGTAACGAAAACAAAACTTGAGTTTTCTTCGTAAAGCCTAAGATCCTATATGGAAGATAAAACAGAAGAGACAAGAACTGGTCTTTTAAGGTTTCTGTATGCTTCCAGAAATACATCAGTTCAGCATCTCATCCAAATTCTGTCTGTATTGAGCCAATCTCTGCAAGATAAAAGAATCCAGGAAAAATATTTCAGCAGCTACTTGAGAAAATGGAATGGAAAATGAAGAAACAAATACAAACCTTGGTATAAGCATAGACTCCGGCTTCAGTAGGACCAACAGGACTTCCCCTTCTGATGAATTTTCCTTCTCTGAAGATGTAGAGCAAAGGTACACCCGTGAAAGCTCTAGACTTGTAACCTATACGAAGTAAAAAGACATAATGAAAGTTTCGGCATTTACAAATTTCCCGACTAAGTAATCAAGACTGAAGTTGTTTTGTCACCTCCTGGGAAGTTAATTTGTCAAGATACATTATAATAGATCACAGTGAGTTTCCATGAGCAGCGATCAGAACGTTCTTTCCAAATACAAGCTGCAGCTCAATCTGCATTTTGATGCAAACGTTAGAGATCGATCATCAAGAAACGAAGCTAGAGAAGTTACAAGAGAGAGAATTACATACACTGTTCTTGAAATAAGCTACTGCTCTCTCAGCACACATCTCCCAACTCTCCCCGTTAGGAGGAGGAATGTCGTGACTCCTTCTCCACTCGTGAAGTTGCTCTTTCCCGTATCTCTCTGCTGTTTCTTGCTTGTTTAGACCCTGCAATTCTCCATACCTACACCACGCCCACATGGAAGCAGATCAAGTTTTAATAGGTTGAAAAGCAATCATGCTTGGTAAGGGACAAAGAAACATGGTGGATTTTGCATTTACATTCTCTCGTTCAGCTGCCACGCAGCTATCACTGGTATGGATTGCTTTTTAATCTCTTCACTGCAAACTTTACTCCATGTTCTCGCCTTCGCGCTTTCATTGTGCAAAATGATGGAGAGTTTTTTTTTTGTTTACAACATCAGAGATTTTCTGAGACATTTGGAGCTAAATGTGTTCAAGTACTAATCTTCAGGTAGCTTGAACGTTAGATTCTCATTTTCTTTGTTGGGTAAGTGTACCTTCTTGCGACGATGTTGAGTCATTGCAAGCATGGCGGTCATCTGGGCACGGATTAGAGACGACGTGAATATCACATCTACTGGTATGTTGTTAATTCTCTTACCAGTCTCGATAGCCTCTTCCACGCCTTTCTCTGTCAAAGGCACATCAACACAGCCCGTGAAAAGATTATTCTCCTTCCACAAGGACTCTCCATGCCTAATCAATATGAGAGCAGCTTCATCTGGCATAGGCAAACAATGACAAACTCATATCACGAAACAAATCTCACGATGCGTATGTCTCGATGCATCTATGAAATCAATATAATCTCGTAATGATGATGCTTCATCACTCGTTCGTTCGCTAATTTATGGAACGTAGAAAGCAACATACTTGATTTCTTTTGAGACTCAACAGAGATGTTCTTGGAGGGAGACAAGATAGTGTCAAAGGCAGCGGCCTGAGATACGGTCGCTTCTATCTGGCAGAAGCTTCTCTTTCTAGAGCTGTGACTCTGCCTCAAATCAACCTTGAACCCTTTATTAACAAATCTCGTTGAGATATTCATAGCCTCCTTTTGACAATGGGAGATTTTGGAATGCCCATGAGAGGAAACAGCCCCAATCCCTTGATGAGAAGCAGCAGCAGCCATTCTGAAAATCATAGATCAGTTGTATATAGAACACCTATTTTGAATGCCAGTGCCAATACCAATGGACGGCTTTTCATTCGAAATTTAAAAGCAACCAAGAACAGTAACAGAACCAGAGCAACTGTAAGAAGTTCTCCAACACGTTTCAAATCCGATTCCTTGAGTTTGCATTAGGCATATTTCAGGAAAAGTTTACGACTTGAGGATCCTAAGACGACCAAATGAAAAACCCAAAACGCAAAACCCCGAGAAACAGAACCCGATTACATCGTACGCATTAACATTAGACAAACTGATTGGGGTTATTACAGATCCAAATCGAAAGATGTAAAATCCCTGATGATCGAGCACGGTCAAGAGCAACGTTTGACGGAAAACGAGAAAGAGTTTCGCATTAAAAAAAATGGAAAATCAAGTAATTCGCAAGACCGGAAAAAGAAAAAGACCCAGAAGCAAATGCAGCTCAAAACGAGTCGTTTAACAGAGACCCGCCAACGACGACGAAGACGATGGAACCAAAAAGAAACGAAACGCCAAATCACCGATCAAAGAAGATGGTTATGTCTTTTTCCTGCAAGAAGATACGTTGACGGAAGAGAAGAAGAGAGACTCCACGTCGATTTCAGGGTAATCAAGAAAAAACCCCAAATGAAAGAAACACGAAAGATTGAAGTTTTTGTAGTAGGGGGCGAGAGGGTTGCTGAGAGGTGGGAGTTTATAAGATCCAGACTACTTTCGCGGTTATGTTTTTTGTTGAATTTGGTTGTCATATATATATATAGCAGGAGATATGGATAAATAATTCACTGTGTATTATTTTTAAAATTTTTCCAAACATTTATCTTTACGTTATTACAGTATCAGTATCGGTATTATTGTGACAATCATTATATAATAATGACAGTCATATGTGTCAGAAATGAACATACACCTATACACTTACAGATTAAAAAAAATATACACCTATACATTAATGTAACTCTAGGCATATTTATTTTCAGATTATGATGCCTAACCCTAATCCATAATCTACACATATGGACCATCGTCGTGATTATCCAACGCAGCCAAGAAGAAGAAACTCGTCAAGTAAGAATCAAACAAACACAAAGAAGGGGCAATAAAAACATATGTTCGTTCAAGGACAAAGACACATCAAAGTGACATCCATGAAACATAAGACAAGGAGTTGAACACTTTCAATCACCAACCATATTCTAAAGGCATATATCATAACCGAAAAGGCTCATATGAATCGAACAGATCAAATAGAATGCCCCCCTAATCCTCCTCATCCAACTCCTGGTATTGCTTCATGAGCTCCGCACAGAACACGTCGGGCTCTTCCTTCTCGAACCCCATGTTATTGGCATACCGAGTCTGAGAGGCGATACCGTTGAAATGGTTAAGGATGACCTGAGATTGTTCCCGGCCAGGGGAGATTCTCGGGCAGTTAGTGTCGGGGCTCTTCACGAGTTTTACGTCACACATCTCGTCCTTGTGATCCTCGTGGACAAAGAACTTGTAGCATCCATCCTTGTCTGTAATGGCCTCGTCACTGTACATTACATCCATGGTTTTCCTGTCCTTGCATTCAAGCTTCACTGTCGCACCTGCATTGTGAAATCACACGAGCTTCTTTATCAACTTTTTTCTTTTCTTCCATGAACTCTATCTGATGATCTGTTTCAGTCTTGCAGCCCATTACATAAGCGTACACTACTTTGAAGCAAACGTTGTTTTTGTAATTATCTGTAACATCAGGAATCCGACAACATCCATAGATAGAGCCACTGCTTCCATGCAATCTGAAGCATCGTCGCAGATATCTAACTCAAGCAATCTAAAGTATCGTACAGTAGATCGAGCAGATCGTCACTCATTTCACAAACTAATCCATTTCTCTCGAGATCTAAAGCAAATAAATTTAACTATGATAGATCTCACCATCACAAAGCGAAAGCAATCAGATCTATAGAAGACACCAAAAAATAACGTAAAGATCTGAGCGGAAGTTACCGGGGATGAAGTAGGAAGCGGAAGTCTCGAAACCGGCGCGGCAAGGGTCACAGTAGGTGCGACCTTCCACGACCATGGTGTTCCTATTATCCTTCGGATGCCTCGCCGCCATTGCCAACGCCGGCAAAGCACACAGAGCCATCATCATAATCACGAATTTCGCCATTTTCGTCTCCCGAGCTCCACAGATCCAGAGAGAGAAGTAAAGAAGAGCGAAAGGAGCAAGCGGAGTTTTAAGACAAGCTGTGGAGCGAATCTAGGAAGGAAGGGGAAAGCGCGTGGTGGCACTGGCAAAAATCCCATCTATCTCCGTAATTACCGTGCTAACTCGAGGGCATTTCCGTCAAGAACTTAAAAACAGATGTTACGTGGCTAGGTTTCATTGGACCCACATGAGTTTGCGGTTGCGTTAATGCACCTGGGCTGTCCGTCGGTGCTCACATGGAGAGAGGGGAAAATGGGAAAGTTTTAAAATATATTAAAAATAAAAAGTGAACGGTGGTGATCAGGTGTGGAAAGGTCTACGTTGTTTTCGACTTCTAAAGAAGCTAAACTCTGAGGCCGTAGCCCAATGGGCTTTCGCCTTGTTGAGCAAAATTTACTTGTGATCTCTTTTCATAATCTCTTTGGGTCACAATAGTTTGGCCCAGCAAGGACCCAGACATGTGAATCATTACGGACATCATAAGTCTGATTAGTCCCCATTCTGCCAATGTGTTCCTAAGTGGCAAACATCAATTATTTCATTTGTAATAAAGTCGTCATTCCCCATCTAACCATTGATGTCGAATTTGCACTCTCCCAACATCTTTTATATCTTTCCAAAATATCATTAACCGCACAATATATATATATATATATATATATAATCATGACCATCGCGGAACTTTATAGTTTGTAATATCTAAACAAAAAAATTTAAACGCAATTATTTAAATTTTGTTATCACGTACAAAACAACGAATTATTATAATAATGTTGGGGCAAGCTTTCAGATGAGCTGTTCCACTTGTCTTTTGCTTCGTTCCGATGGGACAACTCCACTCGTAATACGGTGATGGGCCAACGCGAACACATCAATACATAAAATCTATGTTCCATGAATACCCTAAACACAAAATTTTTTGTAACAAAATTTCAAGGATAATCTCGTACTAAAAAGTAATTTAACCGCATTTTTTTAGGGAAAAAAAAGGCAAATCTCAAATGAAACGTTTAGATATCTAAAATTGAGCTATCTCATGTTAAGGGGTGGTGGTAATTGAAGAGATTTTTAAATATTAAAGAAAACTGTATTAAAACTAAAGCTAATCTTAAATTAGTGTATGCTTACAAGTATAAGTTGGATTACATAAATTAGCATCTGCCTTTCTCATTTGTACTTAACCTTATATATATAATTTATTTTACAACTATAAGCCTTTGAATGAAAGGGATCAATATCATATGGTACAACTGGAATACGAAGAGAATTTATCGGAGGGCATATTTGCACGTGTAACCGATATTATTCTTATTCGGATTTTGCAATATATATATAATTAATTTCACAAGAAATGAAGCTGTTCACGGTCAATATTTTATGTATATGCAATGAGAAATTAAATAGACGTATTATAAGTTTGGACTATGCTTAAATTTGTCATAAAAATTTACTGATTTATTGATGGGAATTGTTCACTGTTTAAATATATTATGCAAAATAGAGACCCACAAACATATATATATATATATATATAAGTTTCACTATATTGGTTTTTTATTTTAAAATCTAAAATCAATAATTAAGAAGCACTGATTAATGATGTTATGGAAATCCAACAGAGTTTTAAAGATAAGATAATTTTGACAAATGCCCAATTTGACAAGTGGCATTAATCTTATTACTCACTCGAAACTTTATACAAAATGTAATAGCAGCAACTTGCGTGTTGCTTCCAAACATTTATGATCAAAGCAATGTCTTAGTCACCGAAAAGTTTATTTGTAACCATTTTTCACTTTCATCTTTCAACATTATTTTTACATCAATTATACAGCATAAATAATAAATATCAAGGCATCTTTTAGTTTTCTAGATTTACAATCTTAAAATACATAAATTTCAAATAAATAAAAACTAGTTAAATTTCAATAAAAAAATTAATATCCACCTAATTTTTCTGAATTTCAAACAATAAATAAATAAAAAATCGAAGAAAACATTTATACATCTCTAATTAAAACTTTTTTATTTTTTCCATTTTGTGTAAAAAACTAAATCAAATTTGAGTATACACTTATTTTAATAACAATCAAAACTTTTATTTTTAAACATTTGTTGAACAAATTTCTACATATAAATATTGTAAATTTATATGTATATTAAGACTGAAACCAATTTTCTTTTTTGTAAACATCAGTAGTTATTTTTATGGTTTTATTAACATGTGTTATGATATTGATATTCTAAAATCAAAATCCTTAAATTCATAACTAAAAACCTAAGAGTTTTACTCGTTGAAACCCGATCATATCTTATTTTATTTTTTTCCTAAAGATATTAGGATAACTGAGAAATCAAATTTGGAGAACAATTTATATTTGGTGAAAAATGAGAAAATAAAGAATCTATATTTGATTTACAAATGGTGGATACTGGGGCCCACGCTATGCTAAGCTGACTCGTCTTGAGATTCCTTGGAAACTCTATTCTAATGAACTATGTTTCTGCTGCAAAAGCTCAACTTTTTTTTTTTTTTTTGATACGATGGGAAACTCTATCCTATAACCATTCGGGTCGGACACCGGACCCCGCAACGTCTCTCAGCCCATAGACCGGACGAGAACGACATCAGACAGCATCGCGGACCTGAGAAAACCCACCGCCCTACGCAGTAACCGGCAAACCACGACAGAGCAACTATGTTTGTGCTGCAAAAGCTCAACTTCATTTTTTGAACATATACTACCAAAATAAGATATGCATATATATATATATATGCATGTAACACGAATGTCATTGGAGTAATAAATAAACAGTATTGTATAATCGTACATGAACTGATAAATCCAATATTCGAACAACAGTACACAACTCTTTCTCTCTCTCTCTCTCTCTCTCTCTCTCCCTTTTTTTCCTTTTTTTTATGCTTAAAATATAAAAAGTACAAATTCTGAAACAATTTAGAGAGAGACATCAAAACTTGTAAATTCAAACCCTCAAACAAAACATTTAATTTCCATACATCGGATTGGCTCCACGATAAAGAGGGTGATTAACTAGGTTAATCACGGTCAACGATGCTTCATATGAATTACCATATTAGTAACAATATACAAACATAGTCTCATACATATGTATGTATATGTATTAGACACTACACGGCGGCGACCACTCTCTCTCCTTTGCCAGGATCAGCGTTTACGTCTGCGTTTGCGGCTTCCACCGCCGTCTCTTTCTTGGCCGCAAACGCGCTTTTCTCTTTCTTCTCGTCCTGTTTCATCTGCTGCTGCCTGCACTCTGAGCTACAAAAGGCCCTATCTCCCCTGCAAATCCAAACCATCAGAACTCGTTAATCATACTTAATTGACTAAGCACAGATTAATTATCACAGCCCAACTGATATCCAAATCAATAATCCGGAAATTTTCTCACCTATAACAATAGAAAAATCGCCCTTTTACACCATAACCAGTAACATATATATGGTGAAGTTCCAGCTTTAAGAGTAAAGTTACAGTTTTGGACACTTGTATATATGTGTATACGTGTATGTATACCTATACATATAGATGTCGTGGCCGGGAACAAGTTGGCGTCTGCAGAGAGAGCAGGATCTGAGGAAATGAGCGGCGTCGGAGTTGTAATCAGCTGAGTGTCTCCTCTGGAGACCTCTCGGTGAGACCGTCGATAAGAGCCGTTGATCTAATAACCCATGATGACCGCGGCGCTGATCAATGGCTGTG